ACTAAACTTTACATATTATACAGGCTACATTAACGTGACATTTAGGCGGTTCGTTTAACTATTATATGTGATGTACATTTTTTTTTTTGGGGGGGGGGTTAATGAAAGTGTTCCAAAACGCAACATTAATTTCTTGACGACCTAATAATTTACAATCATGGCCTAATATAATACATGTTGTGTATACTAACTTTTCAATGTATTATTATTATTAAGAATTTCACATTCAGTAACGTTGCAAGAAATATAGAAGCAACTATAGTATTTGATTCAGAATGATCTAATATATTTTAAACTACGGTTCATTATTAATGTAACTGTAAATTCAGTTTTAAAGTTTATCTTTAATTACTTTCGGTGGCTCAACGGTAAGTCTGAGGACTCATAACGCTAAAAATCGGGTTTCGATATTCGCTGTTGTCAGAAAAAAGATTGTGTAGCTTTGCACTTATCAACAAACAAACCTATCAAAATAGAACCAACACCCAAATTTTAAAATAGCAAGAATAAAAGAAACTTCTACTTTCAAGTGTGTATTAGCCGACTTATTATCAAAGTCATTGTTTTGAGGACCATTTAATTATGATAAAGTAAACGTATTATACAATTTACCGGTACGTGAGTACCGAGTACAAACCTCACTGCTTGAACATTGAAGGCAATACGCAAATTTACTTGTGAAATAATTATCGAAAAGAAGTCTAACCTTTATTGTCGGTAAAGTAAGGCACATGGGTCCGAACTTCAAGGTGTTGCTGGTCCTCTGTAATTAAAAATGAAACATGTTTAATTATGTTTAAAAATTCTATTAAGTGCTATTTTCCAACTGATAAACTTTGCGTATAGCATAACTTAGAACTAACAAACTAATAAAACAGCTGTATCAAACTTCCGTGTGAAGGAAAAATTGGAAGGTAAGAAAACAGTAGGAAGTAAAGTTGCAAGGTTTAATAACAATTACGTGACCCAAGTCCTTAAATGCTCGAAACACATTATTTCAACAGTACATTAAGATCTGTCATATTTGACGTCCTTATTCCTATCATTTTATATTTATAAACAGATATGTTACGTAATCTTGACATTTTATTCTATGTCAAAACTAATTAATATATCAATACTGGTGACCCCAAGGATTTCCGTTGTCGGGTTACAGTAGAAACACAAAGCTTACAAGCAACCCGATGAAAATGTTTCTTAATCCACAGGGCCAGACAATATTTTTTTTTGTATGTGTGGATAATCATATTTCAGATCACTAGCACTAGAAAAGTTCCAAGTGTCAACTTCCAATCGCTACCGAGTCTTCCCACGGAACATACGTTTTCCCACATTTTTTTTCTTAAACAGATTTGCTTGGTTGTTAGGACTTAGGTTATTTTGTTATAAGTAGATTTTGTTTCGTTTAACGTCACGGAAGGAATGCTTGGGAACATTAATATTTATAAGTTGATATGTCTTTCACTGTCGTTAATACCGAAAATTGATAACAACCTGATGCCACCTAACGATAACTGAATCAGACATTGTCCAACTAATTTGTTCCGTATGCATGTTAAATTCAACTAAAAAGAGAAAGTGGC